GCCGTCCTTGGCTGTGATCACCTGCATGCCACTCGCTCGCCCTCGCCAGCTTTCAAGGCAAATCACGGGTCAACCCACGAGTCAAACCACCAGTCAACACTCGATTCAACTCAGGAAAGTGGGAGGGAGGGGGACGTACGCTGGAGCCATGATGGCCGAGCCCTTGCCGTCCTTGGCTGTTATCACCTGCATGCCACTCGCCCGAACCCGCCTCACCAGCCTCGCCCGCTCGTCCTCTCGCAGGGAAACCGCTGGGGTGGCCTGGTTGAAAAACAGAGAGGTGGGGGGGGGGGGCAGAGGGGCAGAGTGACAGAGGAAGTAAATAAGGTGCCAAAACAATCTTCCCCCCCTCGCCTCGCAAGCCTCACTCGCTCCTCCTCTCACAGGGAAACTGTCGGGGTGGCCTGGGCGTGGGGACAGAGGGATATGGGGAGAGCAGGACACAGGGACAGAGCGAATCTTTGAGGCTTCTCAAGAATAGCCTTCACCCGCTTCACCAGCCTCAGGCGCTCCTCCCCTCACAGGGAAATTGCCGGGGAGGCCTGCATGAGGGGATAGTGGGACAGAGCAACAGAGGGGGGTGCGAGGCAGATGAGAGCAAGTTTTGAGGCGTGTGTGCCTCAGAAATTTCCCTCACCTGCCTCCTCACACACTCCTCCTCATGTAAGTGGCCTGGGCGAGGACGGAACAGAGGGGCAGAGGATCGATATTCGGTTGACTCAAAAGCCAGAAGGAGAGAGACAGAGGGACAAAATAAAGTTCTTATGTTTTCACCTGCTCTCTCCCCACACAAGGAAATGCCAGGGGTGGCCTGGGGCGAGTTTTGAGGCGCGTAGAAAGAAACGCCAGGGATGGCGCGGAGTGAGAGCTTGAGACATGAGGAGACAGGCTGAGACAAAGGACAGGGTGTGTTTTTTGAGAATTCTCAAAAAACACACACTGAAACGCCAGGGACGGAGTGGAGTGAGTGAGAGCTAGGGACATGAGGAGACAGGCAGAGACAAAGGACAGGGGCAGACGGAGGGAGAATGGACGGACGGAGTAATGAGGTGGCCTTTGATCCAATTCAAAATCCAGGGAGACAAGGATAGAGAGAAGAATGAAAACTGGGGGCAGGAGGGATGAAGGAAGGTCAGAGACAAGGGGGAGAGGAATGGTAACGTGACGGTATGTGATGGGAAACAGAGAGGAACTATCGGATTCACGAACTTGAAGCACAGGGAAGGACGTATACACACACCTGCGAGAAGAGAGGGACTATTGTGTTGTCTCTGTTGCCTCCCACCACGGGTACTGACAGCTCTGAAAGAGATGGATGAGAAGAGGGGATGAAGGTGTGTGGTGTTCAGACTTTTGAAACGAATCAATATCAAGAAGAGAGGTCCTGTGGTGTTGTCTCTGTTGCCTCCCACCACGGGCACTGACAGATCTGACAGAGATGGATGAGAAGAGTGGAAGGAATTTCAAAATGTCTCTCTATGGTGTTGCCTTGCTTTTTGTGTTGTTGTCTCAGTTGCCTCCAACAGCACTCTTTTCAACTCTGCAGGCCCCAATCCAACACCTCACCCATGGAGTCATGGTGGCCCCTGCCTCCCACGTGTAGTGAGTCATGGTGGCCCCTGCCTCCCACGTGTAGTGAGTCATAGTGGCCCCTGCCTCCCACGTGTAGTGAGTCGGTTTTTGCGTCGACTCAAAAACCCGTGGAGTCATGGTGGCCCCTGCCTCCCACCAGCACTGACGTCATTACCAGCCATGTTGTTGCTCGCCCATGAACATTCCAGAGTGATTTCGTTACATCATGGTGGTTTTGAGAATTCAGAGTGTATTTGACAACGCAGGGTGTTTTTATCATTGAGAGTGTTCTTTTGGAAAATCCAGGGTGTTACGCCCTTTTTCTGCTCTTTTCTCTCACCTGTGGCATTCAGTCCGGTTGCCTCAGCCAGAAGGGCTCTGGCTCGCACGCCATGCAGCGACGTGATGCCCAGCAGCCGCCTCGCCTCATACCTGCCTGCTTCCGCCATCGCCTCTGCTGCTATCGGCACCGTGGCGTTGAGGGGGTTTGTGATAACGCCTATCACTGCCTGGAGTGGGGAAGGGGAGAAGAAGCCTAAATCTGAAATGGAAAGGAAGGGGAGAAAGAGGGAGCGACGTGATGCCCAGCAGTCGCCTTGCATCGTACTTGCCTTCTCCTGCCATGACCTCTGCTGCTATCGGCACTGTGGCGTTGAGGGGGTTTGTGATAACCCCTATCGCGGCCTGGGGTGGTGGAGACAGCGACGAGGGCGTGAAAAAGGGGGAAGGGGGACTCAATCAGTGAAGAAAGGATGGGGAGAAAGAAGGGGTAGGGACGTGGCGTTGAGGGGGTTCGGATCACCGCCTGGAGTGACAGTCAGTACCGCCTTGCAGTGTTGAGGCATTTCCAAAGCCCGTACCTGTGGGCTGTGCTTGGCTACTGACCCGCAACGTAGAAGCGGTCCTCGTTCTTTGTGGACGACCGACCGACACAGCACTACACCTCCCTATGCATGTCACATCAAAAGCTCTGTGGAGGTGATTGCATGTGACATGTCACATCACAAGCTCTTACCTCTGGACTATGCTTGGCAATTGACTCGCACAACCCTCTGACAATCCCCGCGTTCATGCAGAATCGGTCCTCGTCCCCCATGGACGACCGGTATGGCACTCCGGCCAGCACCAGCACCACGTGCGATCCCCGCAGCGCATCTGGGAGCTCGTACGGCCCGAGGTAGCTGCTGACCTGTCAGGAGAGATCGGAAAAGAGAGAATGCGGGTTCGTCACGAGGCATCTTAGAGGCGTCTCAGAACCAAGTCGTGTATTCTGGTTCATTAGCTGCTCACCCGGTCAAAAAGTTCCATAATTTGAGTGCTTTCAAGATAGACAGAGCAATAACAGCGAGTGGATGAGGAATTCACGTTCTCCGCGAACGAGTTCCTCGTTAAGCATGTAAAATGGCGCGCGCAGCGAAGGAAGGCTCAGCTGATAAAATAAAAATAAAAATTGGTGCATTAATCGTTTCGAAATCAGTGGCTTTGGATCTAAGTCCATTTACTTGGGTCTCGCGCAGATGTGGCTGACATTTGAACGTCTCTAACGGAATCAGTGACTCTGGTTCAAAGTCTAATCACCTTGGTTCTCGTGCAGATGTGGCTGAGGTCAGCAACCACTCCAGGCATGCCCGTGACGTCATACAGAGCCAGATCCGTTACTAGCGGATTCATTCTCAGCAGCAGGCTCAGAGGATTGCCAATGCCGCCAGCAGCTCCCAAAACCGTCACTTTTCGAGGTACTGGTGCTGCTGACGTGGACATCATCCGCCTGAGAAGCGGGAGAGCTCTACCAATGACAGTCATGGTGAACAGTTGGCACCAGAGGGTCTACTGCTCGGAATATCTGCCTGCAAACGTTCTCGAATGGTAGACACCTTATAGAGGAAAGTTCTAAGCCTGCTGCCGGAGAAGCCCACGAAATGAGTGCGACAGACGGGAATAGCCTGGGCTTCAGGACGGTCTGGACTCACACAACGGCAGACACAAGAGTGGTTATGAGAGTTGGTATGATTTTGATATCTTGGAACTTCATTCACCAGCCAACAACTGCTGCTCTACATGGGAATTGCCTCAACAGGCGCAACTTCTGACAACGAGTTACCGCCCCATCCGATTACGGTGAAAATCATTTGGCTGTGGTTACGCTTTGGTTCTACGCGGTTGGGGCACTTCAGACGGTACAGCTTTTCAAAAAGTTCATTCCGGAAGCGCCCTAATGGGGGAGGCAGGAATCTCTGGTTGTTGTAAGCTGTCATTGCTGTATGATTGGACGACTAAGCTGAGTCACGCAGCAACAAGGGAATCTTTTACGTTCATTGGGTGATGGATGGCTGCAGCACGGATTCGTGTCCGCATGTCTGAACACAAAACAATCGGACATTGGGGCAATGGCAGGTGGAGGTGGGGAAGGCAGAACCACTTTTTAAGCATCTCCACGTAAGCCCAACATATTGATTCCCAACAATCAATATCCAAAAGCTGTTATAAAGTGATGTACGTTCTCATTACATATTGATGCATTACATTAATTTGAGTCTGTGATCTGGTCACAATACTACATTATATGCTCTGAACCCTATATATATGACTTGTATCATCATCTATTGTCCGCTTTCTATTATGATCCCCAATAGAAAAGAAGCATATGGTACATTGCACTTGCGTTCGACCGACTGTACATAAACACAGTGGTTTTAAGCCTGAATTCCCCACACAAACTCGACCCGATAATCGACCTGCCACGTGTTTGGTCAGATCCAGCCACTTCATCACGTCGCAATCTCGAAAAACATCCCTTTTACTATTCGACGGTTCCGATCTCGAAATTGCTACTTGCGAAACAAGGATATGACCTGTCGCACGAGTCATCTGTCGTGGAATCTGTCGCCCCGCGTGTCTCCCAAGAGGTTGGCTTCGTTATCGCTTCATCTGACGAGCGATCCAAGGGCCAGGAGAGATTCACTGTCGATCTCCTGTCATCCAACCGTCAGCAACGCCAATCGCCAATTCCTGGCCATTCCCCTTCCCTCGATCTCTCCTCCCCTTTCCCGCCTCACATGAACAACTTGTGCTGCGGTTACAGCAAGGAGGTTGCACCGTATCGGTATGAGCTTCACGCACATCAGAGTGTAGACTCTGACGAGGATGGACGAAGACTCTAGGGATTGCCGAACCTTGGAAATCCCCCCTTCCTCTCACTCCTCGACCAAGTCCTTCCCTCTTCTGTTTCTCCTTCCTCTCTGAAACACCCATTTCTTCAGCCGACCTGGCCCTGATCGTTTCCTGATTCTTTGGTCCAGCATATTCACGGAACTGTGGAAATTGGGTTTTCAGGAACTAATTTCCGGAGTTTCAGACTGGTAACGAGCCACAGCACCTAGGTCCATTGGGTTCCTAGTGTTTCTCTGCTGAACACCGAAATGGAAGCCATGTCGGTGTGTTCGCCGATCCGTGCTGCCTCGCAGCTCCCCGCCGTTCGATCCCTTCATGGCGATGCTCTCGGACAATCCCTAAGGAGCTCGAATTCCGTTAGCCTACCAATTCCCAAGGCTCTTCCAGCCGGTCAGATCTTGCCAGGAGGCTCTGCCCCTCAGAAGCTGCAGATCCAGGCAAAGATTTTGAAGACTAAGAGAGCTCCGAGAGACCCGGACTACCCGTGGCCGGATAAGTACAATGCGGAAGAGAAGGGGTTTCTGGCGTTCCTGTCCAAGTTTAAGGACGTAGCCAAGCCCACCAAGCCGATGGCGCTTCCGTTCGAGAAACCGCTGGTCGACCTCGAGAAGAAAATTGAGGAGGTAAATAGATATTAATTAGATAAAGACGCGAATTTAGACAAAAAAATTCTGGCGCTGAAACTTGAACAGTCGTGCATCGCAAAACCTCGAGCGTTTGTCAGGTTTCCGCATTGACTGACTTCTACCTTCTTGATTGAGCTGCACCAAATAGTAGCTGACGAAATCGCATGCTGAATTCTCCGTGTATTGGAAGTCGCGGCTCCATGCGTCATCTCATGGCTTTTGATTCTTCCTCTCATCACTACTCCCATCGTTCTCCGGTGACTTCGGCTGTACCTGCGTTTGTGACTGCCTGTGAATGTTAATGTGTGCCTCGCCAGGTTCGCCAGCTGGCGGATAAGACTGGCATGGACTTCACGGACCAGGTGCAGGAGCTGCAGGACAAGTACGAGCAGGTGAGACAGTTGAGGCCAATTAATCAACTCTTACGGGTCCATGTCTGGTATTTGAACAGCGCTGTTGGTTTTTCAAGTAGTCGCGCTACCTTTTTGCTGACTTTGGCGGATTCCTGTACCTTTTTTGTTTTGGTTTCTTTGTTCCGTTTCCTATTCCTACCTTCATCTTATCGCTTTCCGCCAACTAAATATTCGCACCACACTCTGGACCCGGGTCCTCACCCTTCACCTTCCCCTTCTCCCCATTCTCGGCTGTGTCTCTCCCTCTATCCCTCTCCCGCCCGCGCGTTCTTCGCTCCTTCAGCTGAAGCGCGACATCTACGCGAGAATAACTCCGGTTCAGCGGCTCAGCGTGGCGCGTCACCCCAACCGTCCCACTTTCTTGGACCATGTCCTCAACATGACTGACAAGGTGAGCTTATCCTCGCTCACAGCTTCCTCGCTAAGCGTCCGGATGTCTCTGTTCTTGATGCACATGGAATTCCAACTGCGTCTCTTTCTACACACCGATGCTTTGCCAAAAGCTATTTCGTCCATCGCTCGTTTCGTTTTCGCGTCCCCCTTCCCTGATGTCCATGCTTATGCTCAGACATTTATCGTGCTTCCCCTCTTACTGGTGTCCTATGTATACCCCCCCCCCCCCTCCTCCCCCCCTTTTTCGTTCGGTTGCTCGCTCTTTCGCTTGTTCGTTTCCTCTTGCGTATCAATTGCCCCCGCTTTCGCTCGCTCCCCTCCCTTTCGGGTGCGCTAGCGCCGGCCCCAGTGAGCGGAGCTGGACGGCGGCCCCTGGGCTGCGACGGCCCGGCAGTTCTTACATCTACCTTCCGCTTCCTTCCTCTCCTCGCACTTTCCCTTCCAGTTTCCTTGCTCTCCTCGCACTTTTCCTTCCGGTTTCCTTCCTCTCTGCGCACTTTACCTTTCGGTTTCCTTCCTCTCCGCGCGCTTGCCCGTCTGGCCTCCTCTCCGCGCATGTCCCCTCCCGTCCGACCGCGCTATCCTCTCCCGCTGTGGGTGGAGCTGCACGGCGACCGCGGCGGCTACGACGACCCGGCTCTCCTGCATCTCCCCTTCGTTTCTCTCCTCTCCCCGTCGTTTCCCCTTCCCCCTTATCCCTGCACGCGTGTCCCTCTCCCCCCTTTTCTTCCTCCCCGCTACCCTTCTCCTCGCAGTGGGTGAAGCTGCACGGCGACCGGGGGGGCTACGACGACCCGGCGCTGGTGCATCTTCCCCTCCGCGCTTTCCCATAACCGCACGTCTTTCCCCCCACCCCCTCCCATCCCCCTTCCCCACTCCCGCAGTGGGTGGAGCTGCACGGCGACCGCGGGGGCTACGACGACCCGGCGCTGGTGTGCGGCATCGGGCGCATGGACGGCATGAGCTTCATGTTCATGGGGCACCAGAAGGGGCGCAACACCAAGGAGAACATTTACCGCAACTTCGGCATGCCCACGCCCAACGGGTGAGTGCGTCGCTGCGGTGGCTCTTCTGCGGCTGGTTTGCACCCTGCGAGCTGCTCCCCCCCCCCCTGTGAGGCGCTGGCTGGTTTGACGCCATATGGTCAATTGATGAGCTTCATGTTCATGGGGCACCAGAAGGGGCGCAACACCAATGAGAACATCTACCGCAACTTTGGCATGCCCACGCCCAACGGGTGAGTGCGTGAGAGAGAGAGAGAGAGAGAGAGAGAGAGAGAGAGAGAGAGAGAGAGAGAGAGAGAGAGAGAGAGAGAGAGAGAGAGAGAGAGAGCGGCACGAATGGATGGGGAGGGAGGGGGTGTGTGTGAGAGTCCAGGCGAACGCCTGCTGGCTGGTGTAGACTTGGCGTGCGTGGGTCAGCGCTTGCGCGAATGCACTAGCTGACTCTCGCAGCATGTCCGCGTGCTACCGCGGAATGTTGTTCCTGTATGTTCAAAGTCGAGCGCTGCGCCATCTCGTTGCATGTCCGCGCACGAGCGCGGTGGCCAGCGCTCTAGCTTTGTGCCTTGTTGCATGTCTCTCTCTCTCTCTCTCTCTCTCTCTCTCTCTCTCTCTCTCTCTCTCTCTCTCTCTCTCTCTCTCTCTCTCTCTCTCTCTCTCCATCCGTTTGCATGTCCCCGCTGCTTGCACTCGGCATGACAGCGCGCTTGCGTCCCTTCCGGCTCTTGCGCTTGCTAAAATAACCTTTGCCGGATCCCCAGCTATTGAATCCTCGGCCATTGACTGCTAGCCCTCTTTCCCCCCACGTTCCCCTCTCTCCCCCCCTCCCTCCCCCCTCACCCCCGCCCGCACATCAGGTACCGCAAGGCGCTGCGCATGATGCGCCACGCGGACCACCACGGGCTGCCCATCATCACATTCGTCGACACGCCCGGCGCGTATGCTGGCGTCACGGCTGAGGAGCTCGGACAGGTAGAGAGGCCAAACTGTGGGGAGTTGGGAAAGTGAACAGGTAATCTGGCGTTAATGGCGCAGTTGAACAGGTGAAAGGGTAATCTTGGGCGTTGAAGGGTGGTATACAACGCTGCGCTTCACGCGGTGCTGCTGGCATGTCTGGTGGCTGTGCTGGAGTCTCACAACGAACTCGGAGAAGGGAGGGCGTTTCAGAAAATAAAATTAGCATATGCTAGACACTTCGTCTAGGTTGCCTGAGGTAGTAGGCACAGCACAGGTGAAAGTGTCGTTCTACGTACGGCGCCTGAACTGCCATGCTTCTCAACCATCCCTGTCTTTCTCCCTTTTCACCGTGCCATCTACGTCTCCCCACTCAAACACCTATCCTTTTTTCCTGTCCCACCTGCTTCCTGCCTTTGCCTCCGTTCAAAGTTCCATTCCCGTTTTCCTTTCCCTTCTCCTCCCAGGGCGAGGCCATTGCACACAACCTGCGGGAGATGTTTGGGCTCGAGGTGCCGTCAATCAGTGTGGTGACTCTGCCTCCGTCTGAAGCATCATTCTCCGTTCCCTCTCCCCGCTTCCCGACCCCCTCCCCTCCTGTTGCCAGGGCGAAGCCATTGCGCACAACCTGAGGGAGATGTTTGGGCTCAAGGTGCCGTCAGTCAGTGTGGTGATTGGAGAGGGCGGCTCTGGTGGCGCTCTCGCTATTGGCTGCTGCAACAAGATGCTCATGCTCGAAAACGCAGTGTACTTCGTTGCCAGGTATGATGTTTTAATTTCTCGTTTTGCTTTGGTGTATTCGCTAATGGTGGTTACAATGTATTTAATATGGGGTTTTTAGCAGTTTCTGCCTACACAACGCTTAAATCGTTGCTTTATGATGTCCTAAGGGCCCCACAAAATATGTACGTACTTGTCCTTCAGAATCTGCAAATGAAGAGGGATTGAGAATGGGAAGTAGTCAGGCAGTGTACTCCTTCTCCTCCCCCACGCAGACACTGACGAGACTCCTGCTCTTTGTTGTGTGCTGCGGTGCGTGCGTGTCTGATTTGAGCATATGCGGATAGGTGGATCTGTGTGGTTGTGTGCATTTGTGTTTGTGCATTGGTGTGTGTGATTATGTGTGCATGTGCGTGTTCTCTCTTATTGCACCACCCCATGTGCAGCCCTGAGGCGTGTGCGGCCATTCTCTGGAAGACTGCCGCTGCCGCTCCCAAGGTGAGTCGCTCACTGAATTAAACCCAACCCAACCTGATGCATCTCTGGCACAGAGAGCATGAAAATAACTCAATCCAGGAACCGGATACTGTTACTTTCTGAGTCAACTCAAACGGCTAATGAAGTCATTCCCCTTCACCAAGTTGTGGACCTCCTTATGTTTCGGTAGTCGTTTCAACCTATGGCTGCCACTCCCTCTGCTCCCGCTGCCCCTGCTGCCTTCTCTGCTCTCTCTGCCATTTGCTTGACATGTCAACCGTTCTTATTCCGCCGCCGGTGCTTGTCTCATCTCCCCACCATCCCACCATCCCACGGACCACCAGGCCACGGAGGCGCTGCGCATCACAGCGGATCAGCTGCAGCAGCTGGGCGTCGTGGACGAGATTATCCAGGTGTGTACCCACCCTGCTCGTTTCCTTAGTATGCTTCTCCTGCCCTATGTAGTGCTCATGGACCCCCCCCCCCTCCGCCCCCCCCCCCTCCTCTCCCCCCCTTCTCTCCCTCTTCCACCCGCCCTTGACCCCTCCATATTCCCTTTCCCTTTGAGCCTCCTCCCCCTTGTCCTTTCTCATTTGGCCCCTCTCCTCCGGTTACTCTTCCTCACCCAGCTTTTCCTTCTCTCCTTTTCCACCTCCTCTCGCTTCAGGAACCCCTTGGTGGGGCACACAACGATCACATGGCCACGTCGATGGCCATCAAGGCCTCCATCATGGCGCACATGAAGGTGGGGGGTGGGAGGAGAGAAAGAGAGATGCTTGTGAGGCGAGAGGCTTGTGAGGCAGAAAGTGTGACATCAGGATGATAACACGGGGATTCACACTTCTGGGAGGAGTGCACAACACAACGACCACATGGCCACGTCGATGGCCATCAAGGCTTCCATCATGGCGCACATGAAGGTGGGGCAAGGGGGAGAGAGGTGTTGGGAGAAGAGAATAGGAGCTTGTGAAGAGCGAAAGAGAGGTTTGTGCGGAGAGAAAAGGAGGCTTGTGGGGTGATGTGTGTGACAAGGTGATGGTGGTCAACTTGTTACACACATCACCTGTAGATCTAGAGGCATGGGGCATGAAGATGATGATGGCACTGGATGCATAATGACCACGGGACCTGATGATGACGGACAAAGCAATTGTGTCTTCAATCATGCATCCCTTGCCAGTGGCATTATCTCCATGCCCCATGCCTCCTTCCCCCCCACCCTTTTCTCACATCCTTTCCTGCCATCATCGCCCCCTTCTTTTCCCACGACCTGTTCTTCTGCTTTCACCGGTTGTTTAGCACCCCATTGTTTCCTGCTTAACTTCCCCCATCATTCCTCACTTCACCATCATTTCCCCATCTTTCATCGTGTCCTCGCCTCATCTTGCAACCCGTTCCCCCTCTTTGATTTAACTGATTATTCTGACCCCAAGTAACCGATTAATTTAATCCAAAATTATAACTGATCTCACAAATAATTATCTATCATTCTCTGACTCCTCCTTTTCCCTCTTTCCCATTTGTGGTTCTGTGTTTGCCTGTTTGTTCTTTCCCCAACCTTTTCCCTTAACCTTATCCCAAGCAGGACCTTGTGCAGAAGGACGAGCAGCGAATCATCTGTGAGCGCGTGAACAAGTTCCGGCAGATGGGTGGCTTCACTGTGCCGCCCAAGGTGGACCCTGCCAAGCAGCGCGCTCTCAAGAAGCGCGACCGCCCTGCCGGCCAGAGCATCCCCGCCTCCCCGTCCCACTCCGCCTCCCTGCCCGCCACGGGTTCACAGCCCCTTGCAGCGCCTACTGAAAATGGCAATGGTGCCACGTACCCTTCGTCTGTTGTGAGCGCTGATGCCAATGTCAGAAGCTAGATCTGGGAAATGACAGAGGAAAATGGCAGAAGCGGATATGTGTGGAGGTACGATGGAGCGAAGTGGAGGGTACGTTGGCGTTAATTGATTTTCCAGGTGCCCTTCGTGCTATGGAGAGGGCACCTGCAAATAGAGTAGCGAATAATTGTTGTTTTCGGTGACTGCTCGTTCAATCTATTTCTTTGTGATTCTCCTTTTTAGCTTGTACTGCATGCAGCAAGTTCCCTTTTTAATGCTTTAGTATTATCCTGAACGAAGAATCTGAAGTGTTAATTCTATGAGATAAACTCTGTCCAGTGGTGCAGTTCTCTAGGAAATACCGTGGGATAGCCACGGTAGGGTACGGTCCAAAGAGTTGCGCTACGGTGGAGAGACCAATTTCCCATGCCTTCACAGAGACACTCCTTTCCCACGCGTAGTCAGCAGGCATCCACTAAATTCACCCCCATGTGGATTCTACTTTCAGCAGTAGTAGATGCATTCAAACTTCAGCCATTGAGATTCTACATTCACCAGCCATTAAATTAGCTAACCAGCAGGGAGCGAAGAACCATCAGTTGTCGTTCCTCGCGTCAACCAGTCCCTCTTTCTGCATCGTCTGCTGTTCGCGTCTTTAGAACTCGGCTGATGCTTAGCACTTGCGGTTAACCTTAGCCTCAGTCATGCGTTGTCAGAGACAGGCTTCCAGCCGCTCCTCTTCGCGTTTGTTCTTCGCCGGATTCCTCGCCTCTCAATTGCCAAACGGGTCGTTTACTAACGGAGATGAGGGCGGCTCTGTTCATAACGAGCACGTACGGGACCGGCTTCGGGGTTCTAGTGGTGCAAGTAACGCGATGTCCATTAACGCGTGTGTAGTGCCAAACTTCGAGGAGATCAAGGTGCAGGGTGAGAATGGCGAATGGGAGCACCCCACGTGGCGGTTTCTAGCAGGCGGAGGCTGCGGAACCGCATTGGCTGGAGATGGTAAGCTGCGGGACCGCATTGGCTTTTGGCTCGTCTGCGCTACGAGCGATTCCGACTCTGAGTCATAGATCCGTGTAGCGATATTCCAGCATTCGTGCAAAAATGCTTGTAGTGTAGCCAGATTCTCAGGCGTCTATTCACGAATCAATTCACGAATCAATTCACGCATCAATCTAAGAGCGAAGAAGGCGCGCGTGTCTTGGTGTCCGGCTCGCATGTCATGTTGTCCGGTTGACATGGCACGGTAGCCAGCTGTCATGGCATGGTGGTCGATTGACATGGCATGGTGGCCGGCTGACATGGCATGGTGGCCGGCTGACATGGCATATTGGCCAGCTGACATGGCATAGTGGCCGGCTGACATGGCATGACATGACATAGTGCCTTCAGGCAATGGTTTTGTGTGGCAGGTGACTGAGCAGCGTGGTACGAAGCAGGCATCATCTGAAGAAACGCATAAAGAGCGGCGCGAGCATGGCAGCAAGCAGCAAGAGAAGGAACATCAGGAGAGGGAGCAGCAAGACGGGAAGCAGCAGAACGAGGCGCAGCAAAAGAATCAGACAACCGGCAGCGACAGAAGAGTGGACAATTTTGAGGAGGGGGTGATTCGGCGGGAAGGGAAGCGGCAGGAAATGGAGGGGGAGGAAGCCGAGGTGCGGGAAGGGGAGGAAGAGTTGACTGGAGCAGCAAGTCGCAGGACTCGTCTTTATGCTGTTCGATGGGACAGGCAACCGGCCAATGAGTGTGTGACAGGTGGCGAGTGCTCGCAAGATGTGGGTGTCTTCGTTTCTGGTGAGTGAAACCCGAGAGGGAGTCAGTCCGTCTGTTGTGCTGCGGTGGTGGCGTGTCGTGTTGAAATACATACCAGTGACTGTAACCTAGTGAACGATTTTATCTTACACCGTTTCCTGTTATCTTAAGTGAACCGAATAAGGCTACAAGACATTGACCCTTCAGTTCCAAACTGAAATCCTCCTCACCCCACACAGGCCGCTACAACATCCCCACCTCGCCCCATCCATATCCGTCACACCTCGCTTGCCCTTTGCCCCTGCAATCTGCAGCATCAGGGCGACTAATGCAGTGGGACGTTGCCCCTGCTACTATTGCACAGCAGCGTGTTCATGCAGTGAATAACAACCCCACAGCACCACATCACACCCCTACATCATCACACCAAGACCTCTCTGCACCACAGCTCAGCCCCACGGCACATGCTTCCACTAGCAGCAGACATCCCACCTCTGCTGACGCCTGCCTTCCTCTCCTCCCATCGCTTCCTCGTTGGGTCACCATCACCTCCGTCTCTGTGGGCCTCCAGCATTGCCTCGCGCTCTCAGGTGAATTTTCAGGTACCTTTTGTGCTGTGCTGTGTGCTGCTGCTATCCCCTCCCCCCCTTGCTTTCCCATGGGGACACCATCACGTCGGTCTCTGTTGGCCTCCGCCATTGCCTGGCGCTCTCAGGTGGTTTTTCAGGTGCCTGCCTGTTATGCTGTTTGCTCCTGCCATGCCATCCCCTCCTCCCCTCGCTTCCCCACTGGGTCAGCGTCTCTCACATCTCTTTTGGCCTCCGCCATTGCCTCGCCCTCTCAGGTGATTGATCAGGTGTCCCTTGTGCTGTGTGCTGCTATTCTCTTCCCACCCCCTGCCCTCGATCTCCTCATTCTCTCTCTCAGGCTGTCGGCATGTCTTGTGACCTGATAACCTAGTTCGTCGCCATGACACGTCTCAAAAACATCTACCCTTCCCCCCTCTCTACCCCTTTACTCCCCCCCTCCCCTTTCGCTGTCTACCACTCACAGCAGGCATTGGAATGGTGTGGGCGTGGGGCGAGGGGGGTGAGGGGTGTGAGAGGCAGCAGGAAGCTCAAGTCAAACCCGCACACACAAAACTCCTCTCTTCCTCCTGCCCCCTCTACCCTCTACCCTTCATCCACAGCAGGCAGTGGAATGGTGTGGGCGTGGGGCGAGGGGGGTGAGGGGCAGCTGGGGGTTCAAATCAGACCACACGCACTCCTCCTCTCCCACCGGTTCCCCCCCCTCTCCTCTCTTTACCCACAGCAGGCAGCGGAATGGTGTGGGCGTGGGGCGAGGGGGGTGAGGGGCAGCTGGGAGTTGGCAGGCGGGTGGGGAATGTGACAGTTCCTGTGTGCGTGATGCTGCCCGCTGCTCCTGCAGCATCCGTTATTAGCACATCCGCTGTGGCAGATTGTGCTGCTAGAGATGACTCGTTACAAGCAACAGCAGTGGCGTGTGGAGGAAGGCACAGCCTGGTGCTGGCAGGTGGGTGGGGGGAAGGGTGGGGGGAAGGGTGGGGAGCAACTTGGCAACGTGAACACAAGCAGAAGCAGAGGCAGAGAGGCAAACACAGGGGCAGGCAAGGGCACGGGCAAATGTTGCGGCTCGTCCTTTCTTTTGTTCCTTCTCCATTCTCCCATGTCCCGTCCCAAGATCTTCCCCCTTCCCCTCCCATTCCCCCTGCCCATCCCCTTCCCCATCCCCCTTCCCCTCCCCCCACTCTGCCTCCTCCCCGTCCCACTCCCCCTCTCCCCCCTCTCCTCCCATCCCCCCCTTCCATCTCCCCCTCCTCCCTCATGTGTCTCCTCTCTCATGTGCCATGCCAGAGGATGGCTCGCTCTTCTCCTTTGGATGGGGCCAGTATGGGCAGGTATGCAAGTACGCTGTGCATTGCTGGTTTTGCAGGCTGCTATGTCGTGGGCAGGTAGCCATTGCTGCTGGCCTCTGGCACTCCCTCGCCCCCACCCACCTTGTCACCTCTCTCACCGCTGCTGCTGCTGCTGCTGCTGGTGCTGCTGATGCCACTGGTGGTAAATCTGGCGCTGCTGCTGTTTTTTTTATGCTTGCAATGTCTCACTCCCTCTCACCCCTTTTCACCCCCTACTACCCCACACCAACCACCTCTCGTTCCCAGTGTGGCCACGGCACGTCAAACGACCATCTCTCCCCCACCTGCATCGCATCCTTTTCTGGCCTCATAGTTATAGCCATCGCTGCTGGCCTCTGGCACTCCCTTGCCCTCGCCCTCCCTGCCACCTCACTTGCTGCTGCTGCTGCTCTTGGTGCTGCTGATGCCATTGGTGGTAAATCTGGTGCTGCTGCTGTTTTTGGTGCTTTCTATGTCTCACCCCCTCTCACCCCTTTTCACCTCCTACTACCCTCACGGTCATATCCCCCCCAGTGTGGCCACGGCACGTCAAGCGACCATCTCTCCCCCACCCGCATCTCCTCCTTCTCTGGCCTCACAGTGACAGCCATCGCTGCTGGCCTCTGGCACTCCCTCGCCCTCGCCCTCCCTGCTGGCTCAATCTGTGGCCGTGGTGCCGCTACTGGTGGTGATGTCAGTGGTGGTGATGCTGACGTGGAGGTGGACGGTGCTGACGTGGAACTGGAAGGCGGTGACGTGTACAGCTGGGGAGGCAATCAGTTTGGCCAGCTGGGCACTGGAGACACGGCAGCTAAGGTGTAAACAACCACCGTTACCAAACCAGCATTACCAGGGTTATTGTGAACGTGTTAATGCTCTTGTTGTTGCTCTTGTTGTCATCATGTTCTTGAGTGTGTGTCACATGTCTTCTCTTGTTTGTGCATCGTCCTCCTTCCCCTATCACGTGTCACTGACTTGCTGTCTCTGTTTGTTCCCCTCCTGTGTTTGTGCGTATGTGTGCCCGTGTCTATTGCCCTGTCAGGTGTTTCCAACGCTACTGGATTCTCCAGATCTGGACAATTGTTCGCTGAAAGGGATCTCCTGTGGAGCACGGCACTCGGCCGCTATTACCACCAACGGCACTCTTTTCGTCTGGGGCTCCAACAAGTTTGGGCAGGTGTGTGTGTGTGTGTGTGTGTGTGTGTGTGTGTGTGTGTGTGTGTGTGTGTGTGTGTGTGTGTGTGTGTGTGTGTGCGTGCGTGCGTGCGTGCGTGCGTGCGTGAGTGTGTGTGTGTGTGTGTGTGTGAGTGTGTGTGTGTGTGTGTGTGTGTGTGTGTGTGTGTGTGTGTGTGTTTTGAGACCTCGTAACTCGGCTGTCACCATTTGTCTGGGGCTCCAACAAGTTTGGGCAGGGGTGTGTGTTTTGAGACATCTCAAAAGTCTGTTCTCACCACCGACGGTCATCTCTCTTATGGGGCTGCATTAAGTTTGGACAGGTGTGTGTGGTACACTTTCTCGTGCATCTAAGCCCAATCTTCATGGTTCTAGGTTTCACCCATCGCTTCCATGCATACAACCCTTTTTGATATTTATGTTTGTCTCGCCTTGCACCCGTTTGTTGTGCATCGAACCCAACCCGCATGCATTGATCCCCACTCACAAGGTGTATTCATTCACCCATGTGTGCAACTGACAGCTCATGTTCTTTGTGGTCCATCTAAACATGTTGTAAATTCTTTTCATTGTGATCATGACAGCTGGGACTTGGTCATACGAAAGACACTCACTCCCCTCATGCGGCTACCATGAAGAAGTTTGACCAGAAATGTGGCGACAAATACAGAGCCGGTACCGGTAGTAAAAAAAGAATGTACGAGCATAATGTGCACGTGCAAGATGTCAAGTGTGGCTGGTGGCACACTCTTGCTATTGTCAGTTGTGGTGTAAGCAATAAGGAAAATTATTGATGATAGGTTGATTACACAGCTTTAGTGGACTCTTCCTTGTCGAGTGTTTGCCTCCCCACCTTCCCGATTGCACCTCGTCGATTGGTCGATGGAGCTCGTCCAATCAAGGTGGTAAACATTGATTTGCCACTCTGCCAACCCCAAAACCTGCGTCCTGCTCACCACAGAAGCACTCTTTCTGACGTGTCGCTGTTCTTGCTTCTGACTAGTGATTGGAAAAATTTGTGTCTCGATGATCGCGACGAAGGCTGACGAAATTTGCCCGCCAGACAGAGTTCAACGTGTAACAACTGACACGTCAAGTTCCGTGAACCTCACGTCTGCAGCGGAAAGCCATTTCGCCGTGGCAAGACAGGAGGTTCACCACACGATTACCAAACCATCAAACCACAAGCTTTGATCTCTCTCATTGGTTCCAAACGTCTCACTATCACGTAAGACCGAACCACAATAGTGCCATCTGGCAGGCAAAGAGTGAGTGTTACGCTCGGCCGAGGCTTCACTACAGGCTGGATTCATTGTTCGGAACCTGCCTTGGAACTTCCACATGAGAAGCTCGATTCATCATTTTTGCCTTGCTGTGGTTCAAACTTCCACCCTATCGTTTTCTATTTCATCTTACCCTGCCGAACTGCCTCACAAACCTGGTGTGTGAAGATTTACGACTGCGCTTTACATATTCATCAACAGCTTCTTGCGTTTGGCTTTTTCATCAGAAGTTCATAACACAGCCGCCATTGCTTCCCCAATTATGCGAGTATGCATGCGAGTCCACTTCCTCAGCAGCCAACTCCGCGAGAGGAATGACAATCAAACGGCTTGGATTGAAATTTCGACTGCTACGAAGTGTAGCGCTCCGAAGTGGCGATATATTTCGTAAGCCAGTTTCGGTTTTCGTTGTTGTTGCTTCCAGCTGCGAGCCTTTGGGCTAGTCCTCGGCGATTCTGTTCAGAGTACTTATCGTGTATATATATGAATTAATACCTTGACACGTCGCAAAAATAGTCGAGTCGCCATGTTGCTGGTACACGTGGCAGAGAGCGGTAGGTCGTTCGAACTCCACTGCGGCGCGGACACGCCGGTAGATTCTGTCTGCGATACTCTCGCCTCCCTAACCGCCATACCTCCTCAGGACCAGCTCTTAATCTGCCGCGACGTGCGCCTCGAGCCCGGACGGCAACTCGGAGCGTATCAACTTCCCGATGCTGACGTGGACAGCAGTATCAATGACACAGCAGGCGCGGTCGACACGTCGCGCTCCGCATCTCACGGACACTCCCGCCCAGTCTTTCTTTTCAATAAGATGCGCCTCCTTCCAAAATCTCCTCCTCCCGCGGTAGAAGAAATCGAGGAAATAAGTGTACCAGAATTGATTATAACGGTGGGTGAGCCTGGCGGCGAGCCGTTACATCCGTTAGACCGGTCGGGTAACCCGCTCCTCCGAGCCATTCCCTCCTACGAACGGCAGTTTCGTCAAGATCTGTTACAGGCTCAGGCGTATCTCGCCGCCAGCCAATCGCGTTTCGACACGTGTCGGCGGCTCCTGCAGGAGCAGCACACGCAAGCAGAAGCCGTCCGTTCCGGATCTGCCAGCATGGAGGCCATGGCCCTCCATATAGTCACATCGTTTGCGGATTTTCAATCTTCGTATAAGCAGCAGTACAGCCGTCACGAGCTCCTTCTGCGAACCTTCCACCGGAACCTCCGCGCGTTGCACTCTTGTCGTTTACTGGCGCCCGTCCGGGCGGCAACCGGGTGGCAGAGCCTCGTGCAACTGGCCAAGGAGCCGCGGCTGCAGCAGGCGTTCTCGGAGTGCCACGTGGCGCACGCTCAGATGGCCACGAAGGTCGCTGAGCTGGAGCAGCAGTTTCAAGACACGCGGGCGGGAATCGAGGAGCTGATAGGCGGCGGGGGAGGGGGAAGCGGAGAAACCGCAGTCAGCGGACCTTCGGCTGATGCTGCTGCAGGGGCCGCGGGCGCAAACGCGGGCGCGGGTGCGGGCGCGGAAGGGCGGCGGAGGGAGGCGGAGGTGGTGCGGGAAGTGGAAGGGATGGTGGAGGAGGGACACCGGCTGCTGGAGGAGCAAGAAGTCATCCTTGGCGTTCTCGGGTGAGTTGAGTTGCGTCTGGGAGCGTGTTGTGTTCATTATCTAGGGCTGAGCTCAATGCCTTTCGCAGTTCTTGTGAGCATCGGGGATGGTGGAGGAGGAGCACCGGTTGCTGGAGGAGCAACAAGTCATCCTTGGCGTTCTCGGGTGAGTTGAGTTCCGCTGGGTTCAGTTGTCTCATCGTGTTCTTCCTCCCTTCCTCTTTCCCGCCCCCCCCAGCAATGACTCCAACACAGTGTGGCAGCTCCCCACGACCGCACTCTCTCATGCGCCATATCTCCTCCTTTGTCCTTCGTCCCCCCTCTCTCATCTCCTATCCAGGATCTCAACACAATGAGGCAGCTATTACACGACTGAACGCTCTCATGCGCCACATTTCATCCCCCCCTGCCTTTTCCCCCTCCCCTCCCATCCGCTCTTCCCCCTCGCCGTTCCCCGCCCTCTCCCCTCTCCCCCTCCCCCCAGCAAGGATCTCAACACAGTGAGGCAGCTGCTACACGACTGCACGGTCTCAGTTACCCACTCCTCCTCCTCCTCCTCCCCCTCCTTCTCCCCCTCCGCCTCCCCTTCCCGCCTCCTCCCCCCTCCCTCCCCTTCTTCCTCCCCTTCCTCCTCCTCCTCCACCTCCTCCTCCTCCTCCTCCCCGCACCTCCAACCAATCGAAGCCGTTGCTGCCCTAGACCCAATCTGCACCGTCCATTCCTCCTCCCTCCTCCCGCGGATCTCAGCCATCGATTCGCACCTCGCGGCTCTCGTCCAATCAGCGCGCGCCAGCAAGATCGCTATGACGAATCTCGTCCACACGCGCATGCAGGCCGTCGCCAGGTGGCAGTCCCGGGTTTCGTGGATTCCGAAACCGCCTGCACGCGTTCAGAGAAGCGATTTCCCGCCAAGACGCGCTCTTCTCGCTCCTCGCCTCCGCCCGGGCTTTAAGAGGGGCTTACGCGGATTGTATAGGGGAAATCGCCCGCAGAAAAGGGTTCGGGATGGGGTATATGGGGCGGGCACAGCAGGTGGCAGAGGAGATGGCGAGAGTGAGAGAGGAGGAGGTGGAGAGAAGGGAGAGGTTCTGGCAGCGGCAGGGAGAGTTAGGGTTGGTGCCTCGGGTGGTGATAGAAGGGATGGGGTTGGGGCATGGGTGTGTGCCTAGTGTGTGTACTGTGAGTGTGGCGCCTTTTGATGAGGGATTGGTGAGTGTGGGGGAGGGGGATTTGCCTGTTGTGGGGGGAGGAGGGGGAAGGGGAGGGGGAAGGGGAGGGGGAAGGGGAGGGGGACGAGGGGATGGTGTGGGACGAGTGTGGGGGAGGAGCAGGGGGATATGGCGTGGGAAGGGGAGGGGGAGCGGGGGAGGGGGTGTTGGGTGGAGGTTGGAGCGAGAGGGACAGGGGGAGGGGCTTGGTGGGGGGGCCAAAGGGGAGGAGGAGAGGAAGTGTTGGGGGGGAGAGCATGTGGGGGGGGAGTGCGCTGACTGGCCAATGGAGTGCCCTTGCGAGTGATTCTAAATTAGGGGCGAACATCAATAGCAGTATCGCACATGTCTATGACGAGGATGACACAGCTGGCAGCGCCTTCCCCTCTCACCATCACCACCACCACCAGCAGCACCGGCAGCAGCATCATGCTGACGTGGACGAGGAGGACGCTGACGTCAGCCAGTCGAACGATGACATGGCGGGCGGCAGGTAGCGCGGAGGAGCTGGCAGTGGATAACATGCGGCTCAGAGCGGAGCTGATTGCACTCAGAGTGCTGGGCGCAGCTGGGGCAGGTGCTACTGGGGTAGGTTTTATCCGGGGTAGGTTCATCTGGGGTTGGGTCAACTGGGGTAGGTGTATCTGGGGTGGGTTTATCTGGAGTTGGGTCTGCAGGTGAAGGTGCGTGTGGAGGGGGAGGAGGGGGACACGTGGCGGAGGAGTGGCAGCAGCTGGTGCAGGCGCTGCAGCTGAGGGAGCAGGTGGTGCGGCATGTACAGGTGGCGTTGCGTGATAGGCAGGCGCAGGTGGAGGCGTACGAGCGGCGAATCAGAGAGCTGGAAGGGATGCTGGGCGATATGAGCCGAGATATTTCGAGAGATATGGGTAGAGACAAGGCTGATGTGCGGACGAGTGACGCAGTCACAGAGGAGGTGGAGCAGGAGGGCGGAGAACACATTGAGGAGGGTGCAATGGAGGAGGGGAGGA